GCATGTGTGCTAGCTTAGTGTTTAAGTTAGCAAACATCATCGTCGAAAACGCAATCAAAGTAGTGTACTAAATTAGCGAACATTTAGTGTTAATTTCACAACTCAGAAAATGAATAACTTTTATTTTTTTAAAATTACGAGCATGTGTGCTAGCTTAAGATTCATATTAAATCACTTGAGTAAATATTTTAATTTTTTTTTAAATCGACGATAATGTTGAGCACCTTAAACAATAAGCTAGGACTTTAGCACTAAATGTGTACCTGCGAATTTTGTTTTCCAGCGAACAATTCGACGCATGTGTGCTAATTTAAGTCCTAAGGCAGCGTCCACTTATGCTTATTTTTAAAATATTGATAAGATAAGTAATTTTTCATGTGCCTGTAATAAATTAGCATGCTTGACAATGAATTTGTTAAGATTTTACCTTATTTGTCTTGAGTCTGCTGTACAAAACGTGCACTTAATAGGCTTGAATTTAGTACTTTTTTATTAGTGCTAAAATTATTGTGCTAATTTAAATGACCTATTTTTGGCAAGATGTTGTTTTTTGTATGTGGTAAATTATATTATGTTATAAAAAATGATTTTTTCTACTCCCTTTAAAACGCACATCGTACATGTTTCCATGACACTAAGTGACCTTTTAAATACACATTGACAAGTTGTGGCTTTATGGCGCTTTAGTCACGGACTGAAGTTAGCAACAGGTTTTTAGTCACGGGCTGAAGTTAGTTTTAAGTTAGTTGACAGTTGTCAAACGTCATACAATCGTTAAAATAAAGTGCCTTTCTTGTAAAATAATACTAAATGTGAAAATTATTTTATTATCTCAATACAAAAATACAAAAGTATTAAATAGTTTCTCAACGCCAATATTTGAAAAGTTTATATGAAGATTGTACTGGCCTTTTAATTTCGCCGGCAGTAAACTATAACTTAAATTCGGGCACGGATTCCACTGTAAAGTGCTCATAAAACATTTTCTTTACTTTCACTATGAAAAACTGACAATTTTCAAGAGATACATTTCGATTTATAACCTTTATAATCTGTATTTATAAAATATAAAAATTTTACATTTGACGGTGACACACTATTGTTTCATAGATGGCGCTCTATACAAATTTTTGATTTAAATCATTTTAAGATAATAATAAGTATTTGTCGTATAAAAAGTATAGTATGCACCTCATTTATAAACTTTTCTATACACTCATTAATTTAAGCACTCGCTCGTGCCTAAATTAAATTAGTATATAAAATGGCGTTTATCAAACTTGATACATAATATACTATAATAACATTAAAATCTTTCGAATACGTCGATTCCGTTGGCTACAAGTCTCTCAAATTCTGACGATTAGAATGAAACATTTCTGCCAAATAAAGGAAATAAATTACAAATGAAACAAAATAGCATGGTAATAAAACCATGATAAAACTTTTAATAATAAAAATAGGATTTGTAATGGCTATATTAATTAGTAAATTAAAAAAAAATATTTGCAACAACATTTTTTATTGGACTGTCGTGTTGAAAATTAACGTTTTGCCCCATTGAAGCGTTTTATTTATTTTTTACAGAGATTTGACCTGTAGACGACTTTTGTTCAAGGTTTTCAGCCATAACACGCTATAGCGAAACGTCTATTATTGTAAAGCGTAAATTTTACAAAAAAAAATTGAAGGTCATTCATATTATTAATATTATACAAATTGTGGTAAGTAATTTGTAAATTATTATTTTATCGTCTTGACCAAATCTATGGGCTGTGGTATAGAGAACATTTTTTTAATTGTCTAAATATCAAAATTTGTTATGAATTTAATAAACGGTTTTTTTTTTTCTTTTTAATAATGCAACCTTTTTAACTTCTTTGGTTTTGATTATTCAATAAAAATAATAACCCAAATCCGATAATGAAAATTTTTGTGTACAATACCATTTATCACGATTAAACCCTCATGTCCTTTAATTGTTTAGTTTATGCAATAATTGGCTTAAATGTGCCAACTAATAAAACCTTTGTTAACCCATTAACCTTAAATTTGCCAAAATGCAATAATAACTGGTAAAAATTATATTAAACATGTTTAATAAACATTGTTTATGGCCAAAAAAGTACTAATTTTTATGATTTATTATTTTTTGTTTGTTAAGAAAATACTTTTCATTAATAAAAGTAATCATATTTAGTTTCTTTTTTTTTAAGTTTTGGCCGAAGCCGGTGATTTTATTAAATAAATATATAAAAAAATTGAACCTTCGGCTTTGGCACTTGCCCCATGGTTTCGACTGTTCTTGGGTCTTATCGTGATCAAAAGAATATGAAAAAATATGCTTAAATGGTGTATCATATTTATTTTTAACGTGTGTTAATGTGTAAATATATTTTAAACAATAATAACTAATTTCCTGAGTCTACCAAAAAATACATATGTAGACTAAAATAATGTCCAAACTTTGTTTTACGACAATTTTCAAAAAATCTACAAACCCCAATTATTATCAAACTTTGGATTTTGTTTTTTAAGGTTATTTTCTATTTTATTTTCTATGTTTTGAACTTTGGTACGTGGTGTTTATGTGCTATTTTTCTGTAAGTAAAACGTAAAGGTAAAAAAGTCGGACCTTTTGAATTAATTCAGACTTTTTAAACTAATTCACTTTTTCTGATTTAAAACACAAACCTAAACATTGAAATTTATTTTTTCTATTTGAACACCATAATAAGCATTTGCATTTCGTCTCCATGGCAAGAGTACGATACGCAAATATAATTTATAATTCGAATTTTTCTTAAAATTAAATGTCAAAAATATTTATTTTGACCAATACTTTTTTTAAATCAATTTAAAAGTTTAAAATGGATTTTTGTGAGAAGATGTAAATTATTTTACAAAATTTAATTATTAGGTATATTTTATAAAATAGTTTAAATATTCTTACAAAAATGCATTTTGAACTATAAAACTAATTTTATGAAATATTTTGTCAAAATTTAAACTTTTGGACTTCAATTAAAGAAATTTTTCTTTAGAACAAAACAAAATGGCACATACCCCTTTTGGTACTTCCACGCCTCAATTCACCATGATCACTTAGATAAAATATACACACTAACGTAACTATATAAGCACATAAGCGTTGAGTTTCTTAATCAATGATAAAGCGCCCTGTGGGATTAAAAGTGCATTCACGAATATTATCTAGGAACCGTTTAAATCCGATATAGAATAAGATTTTCAGTGAAAGGAAAGAGAATGTTTTATGGGTACTCCACCCGAAATTCTTAATGCTTTATTAGTTAAATCTAGTTTACTTCAGTCGAGGTCAGTACAAACGTGCATAAGTATAAACTTTTTAAATATTTATGTCAAGAAACTATTTCATACTTTTGTATTTTTATATTAAGATAATAAAATAATTTCAGTATTATTTTACCAGAAGCACTTTATTTTAACGATTGTATAACATTTGACCATTGTCAACTTAAAGCTATCGTTATAAAGTTACTTATAGCTCGTGACTAAAAACCTGTTGCTAACTTTAGCCCGTGACTATAACGCTATAAAGCCAGAGCTTGTCAATGGGTATTTAAAACTTAGTGTCATAAAAACATGGGCGTTTTAAAGGTGGAAGTAGAAAAAAGAACAAACATAAATTTATGGAGAATGTCCATTTTTCTTATTTAATGAAAACTATTTTATTTCTTGTAGTACTTTCTACTTTGTAGTTGTAGTTACTTGTAAGCACTTTTTAAAAATTGGTACTTGAGTGAAGTTTTTTGTATTTGAAACAGCTCTGCTCTGCCATTATATTAAGACAATAAAACCAAAAATGGGTTTATAAACTTAAAACCTTACATAAATTCAAATACGATTGAAAAAGTTGTTCTTGTGTACCAGTGTCTGTAATAAATTGTATTTTTTTGTCATTTTTTAAGACATGTTTGTGTTGATTTAGGGAAATTAGTAAATTTTTTCTCAAACTAACTGTAAATTATATTAATCAGCACGTTTGGTTTATACAAATGGCGGACTTATTTTAAAAGTTAAAAACTATTTAGTCATCAATTAGTTATAATACTAACCTAGTTTTTTATTTTATATATTATTAATGCAATTGTTCATTATTTATTATTTTATTATATATTTTTTTAAATAATATTTATGCAATTGTTTTAGGTTTAAATATTACAAACATGTTGGGTTTAAAAATAAAAATAACAAGTAACGAAATACATAGTTTTAAAGAAAAAACTGGATATATTATGTATTTAAATTTTTACTAAAAAATAATAAATAATATCCATATATTGCACTTAGTTAGGGGCCGTCCATAAATCTCGTGACGCTAAAATGGTCAAAATTGATCCTTTCCCCACCCTTGTGAACTCCTCCTAAAGGGTTATGTGACGAATTATCAAACACGGGGAAATATTTACACTGCGCGTTAAAATTAACGCATAACAAGTAAAAAAAATCCAACTCTAAAACGCCTTTACCAATCTTTATATTTACAAATTTACTTAATTCCCTAAAATTTATTTTTCGAACGTTTTTTGTATTATTAAATAAAAGTTACTTTAAAAATATTTTCTCGAAAAACCCTCGAATACGTAAACTGAGATTTTTTACACCATATCGTGTTGCTATGGTCGATATGGTGTGGTGAAATATATAAAATGTGAAATCCTCCTATAATTAAATCGGTTTTGTTAGTTTAAAATGCATTTTTTGAGAATATTTTAACTATTTTATAAAATATAATAACCATATTTTGTACAAAAGTTAAAACATTCCCACAAAAATGCATTTTAAACTATAAAAATAATTTTATAAAATAATTTGTCAATATTTTAAATTTTGGACTTGAACTCACCGATTCAATTAGGCATGATGTTGTTAGTAAAAAATGAACAATGCATTAATGATGATTCGCTAAAATTAATGTTTACAGGACACAAAGCGAAACAAATAAACAAGCAACTTACCATTTGAATATGGATATCCTTAAAAATAAAAAAATATATAAATAATTTAATAAAACTGTTTTAATTAATATATATATATATATATATATACACTCTTATATACTCTTATTAATTAGGGAATATATTTTACTTAAATGTGGTTGTTACATTAATAAACGTGAACATGATTTCTTAAGACTATCAGGTATTTTATGTTCAACTTTATTTGTTACTACAATATTATTGAATTGTTTCCAACCCTTATCACTATCATTTTTATTTTTTCTAACAATAAATTCAAAATACGCTTTTTTCCCTTCTTATTCCTAAATTAACTTAATTTCGTATTTCAATATATTATCATTTGCCTAATATTGTAAGAAATATATGGTATACACCTCAAATATACCTTAAATTAGGAATAAATAAACCTTAATATCAAAAATTGACATTCATTAATATTAGTTCATTTAAATTTATTAATATCTATATATATTATTATAAAATGCATATTATGTATAGGTATATATTTTTATCAAATGCATGCTCTTCATTCACTAAACTAGAATACAATAGTGCAGATAATGATGCATGTACTAGTTTAGTAAGTGGATAGCATGCAGCGACGGACAAAAAATAAATAATAATTTAATTGCCAAAGATTTTTTTATTTTATCATTTAAAAAATGTTAAAATTTTTTTAGTTTATTTAGTTTCCCGGAAATTTTTTCAGGTAATTTTTATGTAAAAAGTAAAATAATAATAATTATAAAAATATGTACCTAAGTATTTTTATTTTTATAGTTTATAATACATACATGTATGTATTATAAATAAAGGGACTATTCAAATGCAAATTTTAAATGTATTTGATTCTTATGAGTATGTAAATGCATTTGATTCTTATTAAAGCAATCGAATACTACAAACTTCTTGTCGTTTTTTTATAAAAATTCCAAACAAGTGTTTTTTAGATCCCGGTTTCATTTAAAGGTTAAACATTTTTTAAAGGTATTATCTCCATTTGAAGAGTTTCCATAGAATGCCTTCAAAATTTAATATATTAAATTTTAAAGAAATTCTATGAAAACTCTTTAAATGGAGATACTATCTTAACACTGACTAAAAAAAGCTGATCGCTAAGAAATGGGATACGTGTCCCATTTAAAAAAAATGTTATTTTTGTGATTATTTTTTGACGTTTCTAAAAGCAAATGGAAATTTGTTAGTCATGTGTGTACGTTTAAGCAAATCAAAAGATTTATTATATCGGAAATAATATCTACTAGAATTTATTTTCGCGAAAATTTTATGATCTGTTAGATGACAAATATCTGTCATCAGTATTTTAAAATGAACAGCAAAAAGTTTAGTTCAACATCTGAGGATGAAATAAACGCTCAAACAAGCAATAAACCAATGTCATTTTGTAAACTATATCGTCAAAAAATAATCTTTCGAATACCAGTCGAGAGATCAATAAATTGAAAATAATTCTCCAAAAAATTTCGCAAACTTGTCATTCGGCAATAGACACTCGACCCTTACGGGCTCTTGTGGATATTACCAGACAACAAGTTTTCGAAATATCTGTCAAATTATTTTCAATTTATTTTCACTCTCTTGGGATATTACTGTTGAATATTTCGAAAACCTGATGTTCAATTGTTTTTCTGTTTTACAATTTTAATCAGGCTACCCTGTATATTTTAACATATTTTGAAAAACAATTTAATTTGGAACAAAAAGTGATTATTGCATAACTACCTTAAACTTATAACATTTTAGTCACGAATTTAATTTAGATTTAATTAAATTTAATTAAATAATTGTCTAGAAAATTTTATAAACGAGTTGCATACTTTACTTTTTCTACGACAAATACTTATTATTATCTAAAAATGATTTAAATTAAATTCTTATAGATCGACATCTATAAAAAATTAAAGAGTAACTCGCGGAATTTCTAACATGGGAATCTGTATTACCGGCGCGCCAGTCCAAATGTCAAATTTGTATGCGTAAATCAAAATTTATCCCTTAAAAATGAACTAAAAACCGTTTAAATGATATAGAAGCAGTTTTTTACAGTGAAAGTGAAGAGAATGTTTTATGGGCACTTCATGGTGGAATCTCCACCCGAAATTTTTAATGCTTTCAGTTAAATCTAGTTTACTGCCGGCAAATTTAAAATGTCAGTACAAAATTGCATATAAACTTTTAAAATATGTATTGCGTTAAGAAACTATTTTATACTTTTTACTTTTGTATTAAGACAATAAAATAATTTCCACATTATTGTTTCACAAGAAGGAAACTTTATTTTAACGATTGTATGACATTTGACAACTGTCAACTAACTTAAAACTAACTTCAGCCCGTGACAAAAAACCTGTTGCTAACTTCGGCCCGAGACTAAAACGCCATAAAGCCAAAACTTGTCAATGAGTATTTAAAAGATCACTTAGTGTAATGGAAACATGTACGATAGGGCGTTTTAAAGGTGGGAGTAGATTATATGCTTGTCTGTGGTTAAAAAATGAATAAGTTTTAATAAACGTATATACTAGCAACTAATTTAGTGATAAAGGTTTTTTAAATTAATTTATTTGGCGATATCTTAACAATTTTTTTTTTAAATTGTTTACAAAATGGTTTAAATATACGCTAATTTCTTTATATCGGACGGAAAACTATTATTGAAGTTTTCATAGTTTGTACCTTAAATGCATTTTTAGTGTGTCTTGTGTTGTATTCGTGGCTTTTAATTTCGTAACAATAACACTGTAGGTAAATTTTTAACTTTTGAAATATCACAGCTAAACGCTCGGACACGTAAACATAGTTTTTGTATGCTGGTATATTATAATTTATAAAATAATATAATTCACCTCTTGTGCCAACAGTTTTATGCTTTTTATTTAATTTAATATAATATCCTCAATTATACTCAATAAAAAAAAATCAGCAAAAAAACATTTCAAATTTCCTAAATTAACTAAGAAAAACCCTTAGGGACACGTGTATCTTTTGATCAATTAACTTATTATTTTTTAAATTTGGAACTGATGTGTGGGCCCCGCCAAATTTAATTAAAAAAAAATTATACAGGGTGTTTAAATTTATACAGGGTGTTTGCAATATCTTTAAATTTTGACCTGATACAGCTAAACCAAGCGCGGATTTGTAATCTACGACAAAAAAATTAATTAACGTGTCCGAGCGTTTAGCTGTGATATTTTCAACTCCATACAGTGTAATTAGTAATTTCTGTCAACCCCCCCCCTGTTGATCGATTTTGACTTTTATTTATTAATTAAACATGTAGTTATAAGTGTTTTTTAATTTAAAACCCCAAACCACCCTTTATGAATTTTCTGGCTATGCTACTGCAAAAGACACATACACACATGCATACATATACATGGTAAAGCGCACACACCAATTTTTATGACAAAATTAATATTTACAAAATAATCAGATCATTTCACAAGCAGACTTGGGGGCCCCATTTTATTTTACTGTCCCGGGCCCTTGACAGGCTTAGTCCGCCACTGCAAAAAGGGTACTAAATGTTTTTCATTTATAATGCAAGAAAATGGGGTTGTTTTTAATTTTAAAACAAAATAATGTTTATAAACAATATATAATATAACAATAATAATAGTAATAATAATAATAATAAATTAATTCTTAAGAATTATGTGTAAACACATAAACTTATAAAACATATTTTTTTAATGTCAACACTAAGTATAGCAATACTAAGAATCAGCTCAAGTTAATCTATTGCATTCGGATACTTGAAAATTTCAAGTCGAAATAAGCATAATCAATTAAATTTATTCGTTTCTTTTAATTCGAATAATCATTCGATTCTCAAAAGTATTCAAATGCACAGTACCAATTAGATTGTAAAAATCATTCCATTATCCCTTCACAAATTTTTTGTGTAATCGTACTTAAAATTTTACGAATGCTTTTTTAGTGTACAGCTATGCTTGGGACTTAATTTTTTAACACCCTGTACACCCAAATTAAATCTTTTACAGATACCTTGGTAAACTTTTTGCCTAAAATATGTAGGGATAAAGACCATATTTTGTACATCGTACATCCTGGTAAACTTCATATTTTATTAAAAAACTTTATAAAACTGACCTAGTGGAAAGTGAGGTGGGCCAAATCCAGCCAAAGATCGGCCCCAGTGTTGTGCCTGAGCTCCCTGTATAATAGCCGTTACGGACATCATGGGTTTTTCTTTCTTCATCATTTTCACAAATTATTACTATTTAATACTTAAAAATCACAACACATCAATATCACAACAACGAATACTTTTTGACTTTCCTTTGGTAACAAAAATAAATTACTCCCGTCAAAATATGCAGTAGACAGGGATTTGCAACAAACAGATTATTTTTATCGCAGCGAGTTTATCATTTATATAAAAATAAATATGCTTTACGTGAATAAACAATTATTAAAATGTAGCAAATATTTACTGAAAAATAATAAACGATGCATTTTAGATTAATAAAACCTGTTTTGTGTTACATCAAGCTCTTCATATCACTTCATTATTTGTGAGCGGTGCAAGCCTTTACCGGGAAACACATATTCCGAGAACATGCTTTGATTTGGTTGCGGCGAATATTAAAAAAATATTTAGTCCGAGCTGTGTTGCGTTGCACTGAGGGATTCGACTAGGAGACTAGGGCAAGCGTTTGGTCACGGCCGGGCTGGTTCTGCTTTGTTAGCTACGTGTTTTCAATTCGCGAGTCGCTTAATGTCTACTGCTTTACTGCAACTGGCTCGTTTCGTGCATCTCTCCGCCAAAGACCACTGCAAACGGTGAAGGCTACCCATTTGTCTGATTCACCTGTGTGCGGCGGTCTGACTGGTCGCTGAACATTCATTATGATCATAATAATATGATGTTAATCGTATGACCATACTATGGCAGGGATACATATTTTGAATTTAAAAAAACAATAATTGAAAAAGGTTTTTTGCTTGTAACAATTTTCATACTATACGCTAAAGAAGTATCGGGTTTTCGCAACGCGCGCGCCATCTGGTGGACTTCGAATGCATTGCGTAAATTTAAGAATTGTCAACAATAAATTTAAAGCACAGATTATACATCATTTTTAAATAAATAGGTAGATTTTTTTTTACAAAAGAGACAAATTTTGTTCAGCTGCACAGCTAAATCGCTCACGTTATTTGTGTTTTACGTTGCAAGAAAAAAATTAAAAAACTTTTTTAGTACCTACTCGATTTCGATTGATTATTCCTTATATCATTGATTAAGAAACTCAACGCTTAAATGCTTATATAGTTAAGCTAGTGTGTATATTTTATCAAAGGGATCATGGTGAATTATTGTGTTTTTAAAATTTAATGTAAATAAAATTCAAGAACTAAATCGTTGCATTTTCATGTTTTGCCAAAGGATCCAATTCGGTAATTACATTTGTTGGTGCAGAATTAACTAATGATAAATTTACCTAATATAATTTATATTCAAGTTTGGACATTTTTAAGAACTAAGTAAAAAATAATTTTTCCACAAACATAACCTTAAAATCAACCATTTTTATATTTGAGTTCTCTAAAAAACGCATTTTAAACAACAAAATATACCTACGAATTCATGGCAACATAATATTATATATAATACATAATATAATGGTATTTTAGCGTTGAGTGGAGACTTTCTTAATCAACGCTTTTAATAATGCTAAATGTTGTTTAAATTTAGACGACTTATTTGTTTGACGATTTTTACTTAATTGAAATGTTTACACTTTTCAAGTTAATCACTACTAAAATATTGGAAAACCGGTAAAAACTCAACCCAGGATTTCCTCTCGAAATACACCCAACAACACAACAAATCGATTCAAAGTTTTTTTTTCGATATTTTTTAACGGCTCAAAAACACTCGTTTGTAACATAAGCCGAGTGGTGGCGCTACTAGCGATACTTCTTTAGCCTATACCCACAAGTCCCACTGACATTCGAATTCAAATAAGGTTATATATCTCCCAGTTTAAAGCTTATTTCGTCTTATTTTCTGAAAATAATACAATACATGTATTTTTGTGTTATAAATTAAAACCTTTATAAATACACAAGAAATATTGTATTATTTTCAGACAAAATTAGCGGTAGACTTACAGATAGGTAACCTCAATTATTTGTATTTAAATGTCAAGGTGGGACTTTTGTGTATGGGGCATAGTACATATCCTCTTATATTGCAAAATAAATAGTATAATACTTCTGTAAGAAACACCTCAAAATGGACAACGTAATAAAAGTTGTAGATATACATCAACACTTTTTTCGAATAAAGCTTTTTATTTTCGTTATTAATGGCCGAATTTAAAAAAAAATAAAGTATTTTGGAGCGTAAAGTCACAGTAGATCTCTATAGAGAATACTGTGGTTAAGTTTAATCCACAATTTTTGCGTTAAACATTTTTAAAATTGTCCATAAATAAGGGAGATAAGGAGGTTTATGAAAAACATGTGTATGTTTATGTTTATGTAAAAGCATGTTTATGTTTTTAAATAAACCTATTTATCTTCCTATTCATAGCGGGATTTAAAAATGTTTAATACAAAAATTGTACATTAAACTGACAACTCTAAAAATTTAATATTTTTTTAAAAATCCAGTAATAAAAAAAGGGGGATAAAAACGTTGGTGTAAAATAAAGGATGTCTACAATTCGAAAACAAAAGCTAAAATGATAAGATCTACAACATCTATTACATAGTCCATTTTGAGTACAAACACCCTGTACAATATAGTACAGTAGTAGTACAATAGTAATACATAGGAATTCTGACAATAAAAGTAGTTAATTTCCCGATAGAATTTATCAAAATATATACATATGTACCTACTTTTTTGCATTTAATTTTATGTACCTGGAAATTTAAATTGTTAATTTTAAAAATTATAAACACTATTTTACAAAAAAAATCCTTTATTTTCGTATACTCTGTACATAATGTTATGCCAATTTTGTATGCTCATCAAAGGTTACTATTTTCACCAAATTTATTACTTTCTATAGGTAACCAAATATTTGAAAAAAAAACAAATAAAAGTTGGGCTCGTACGAATCGTATGTCACCAATTTAGTTGCAATGAAAAAGCTTAATTATAACATTACATACATATACGAAAAAGCTTTTTGTAAACTTGTTGGTTTAACCCAGATAAAAGCTCTTTAATATAAATTGACCTTGTATTCAGGAACTAGTCCAAGGACTTATCTCTACTCTAAACTAATTTAACAAAATATAAAATACAAGGCCATATTAAGAATTCTAATCACATCATAGAATTTGGAATATTTTTAAAACCCTTTTATAAATTTAAATTGTTTTCAAGTTTGCAAGGTCTTATTGTTACAATTATTTGGCGTTTTACATTTTGAAGAATTTTAAAGCGAAAATTTAAATAAAATATCAATCAAAAAGACTGAAATTATTTTACCAAATATTAAAAAAAAAACAGAATGTCAAAAAAATGGCGCGCGCCCACGTTGTTTTCCAAGTATAAAAATAATTACAATTTCCGAAAAGCCGTTTTCGTTTTTAAGTCTAAACAAACTTGGCTACACTGTGTCTTCACTGTGCTGTATATTACATAAGAAGAGGTGGAAAATAAACACAAAATAAAAAAGGCATCCAGCAGGTATTTGAAGTTAACATCCCTAGTTGACAGATGTACCTATTTAACTTTAAAACGTTTTTAATCATATATTATATCACGAGAACTATGAATTTAATCGGTTAAACTAGGCTCAGTAGTTTTTTGTTTGGTTTTTGTTGGAAAATGTTGAATGCAAAATAATTTAATATAATCACGAGACCGCGTGGCGGTCGAGGGGTTTTATTTTTAATTATTTTGCATGAAACTATTTTCCAAAAAGAAAAATCAAATAAAAAACATACTGAGCATAGTTTGACAGATTAAATTTATAGGTTGAGTGATATACGTCTAGATTATTTCTTGAATTAAAGGAAACTATTTGACAATTCATAAAATCTGACGTATGTATCAAAATTTATAAATATTTTTTTAAAGAAAATTCCATTAATATAAGGTATGTAATAAGTAATAATTGATATTTCGTAAACTAGATAACTTATTTTTTATTGTTTTTTAAAAAATGTTTGTTAAAACTTGTAAATAACACCATAAAATCGTAAACAAAATCCAATATGGAGGCTAAAATTTAATCGCTGTTAAATAGTTCTAGTGATTTAATCGCTTATTTAAACGAAATTTATTCTAAAATTCAAGGCTTTTGATTGGTTCATATTATAATGAAGGAAATAATCATATTTTTTTTTATTTAATTATCATAATCATCATAACTTCGTTATTATTTACAAATATATTTGTCAAAAGTCATTAGAAGATTGTGTTTAATCCAATTATTTCAATAAATAGGTATTCATAAAGAAAAAAATTAATTTTGAAACCCAAAAACTTTTTGTCAGTAAATTTATTTTACACTTAGATTTTACATAATTAAAGTAACCCGTCAATAACAGTTTTGAAATAATGCTAAATTTTGTATTTCTGTGCATACATCTACATATGTAAAATAGGGAATATGTAGCTGATTTTAAAAGTGGAGCGTATAATATGACCCAGTGCAGCATTGAACAACCCGTTGTCCTTGACCTTGCAATGTCCTGTTTCTGCATGTCAAGGCTCAATGGACCACTTTACCCGCTCTATTAAAATCTGCTTTTAAAAGAGCTTTTTGGGCCGGTGGGAAACCGAAGTTAATTTCAAGTGAAATTAGTAAATTCCAAAAATAATTTAAGTTTCTCAAATCTAAAAAATAATTTAATATGAGACAAAATCATAGTTGCATTAGTCCAAATGTATTTTTTTCCATTTAATTATTCATTTATGAAAAATAAGGTGTTTATCTATAAGATAATGCACATTTTGTTATTGGCTTGTGAATATAAACAAAACTTTTTGGTTGCTTTAATTCCTGTGATATAAGGCTGTCCAGAAAAAGCGCATACTAGCTTCCCACCACGCGATAAAAAAGGATATTTTAAAGCAATCTTGATTTGTTTATAAATTAAGAATTTAAGTTAAAAAACACCAATGATGATTATCGCCTTGGCTGTAAACATAATATAGATTAACCGGTTAAAAAAATGTACCTCCTAGTCTGTTAAAAATTCGTTGGGACCAATCAAAAAATTCACTTACTGTCAAATCTACCTAAGCTCACTTTCTACTTTTAATAATAATTATTATGGCATTTACAGCATTTACAGTCCCCTGTAATATATTCAACATGTGTATATTAAAGCAATCCTCAACATTGGCGGGAATAAGAGGTGGGAAACTATACAACCTAAGCAAAAACTTCGATATATCGATACTATCGAAAAAAGAAAATCTGCATCAAAATTAAGGACCATTTATTTAAAAAGCCATTTATTAGCGCCCATAAAAATTTAAATATTTAAATTCTTTGACTTACGTCGTGACTAAATAAAAAACGTTACAAATTTAGTTACATAACCATGGAGCCCACCCTAACTTAATAGGGGAAATTGACAAAACCAAAATCGCAAAAATTAAGTATTTTTTTCTTTTTTCACTAGCTATACGATACGTATAACCATTCTTAGGTCTATGTAAATAACACACAGAGATGACAACAGAATTTCTATGATAGAGATAATAGTAGTATTATTTCTGAGCTGTTGTCTAGAGAATTGTCTGTTAATCCAGTGTTGCTAACCTGGATTTTTGTTGGGAAATCTAGGA